AGAATGGGTACTGTCCAACAGCGGCCGCTGTTGGTTTGGGGCAACATTTGTTGTTGGGCACTGTACAGTCGGGGCCCTGAAGAAGGAACCCTTTTGGTTGGGGAGGGGCTCCGCGTTCCTTGAGTGTTTCACAGCTTGCCTCAGGTTTTCCTTATGTTTTCGATCGGAAATCGAAGTTTAACTCATGGAACAAAGGGGCCTCGTTCCTTATTTAGGGTTCCTTAGGTCAACGCCCCGACTGTACGACCGGAGCGACCCTATCTTCCTGCTGCATGTTTCGGGCCCGACCGGTCTGCGGTGGTTTCGGGGACCGAAGCGGGGCGAACACGCGCAGTGTGGAAAAAAGGGGCCTCGTTCTTTCTTTAGGGTTCCTTAGGTCAACGCCCCGACTGTACCCATTCTTCCCGTACCCATTTCGGGCGTCCAAATTCCAGGCCCGCTGATGTGGAGGGAGCGGTCAGGGCGGCGAGCGGAGCGGCGGTTTGGGGGGGAGGAGTGCCGTCCGTCGCACGCCCGGCATGTCTGGCCCAAGCTCGGATGTTGCATGTTTGTTCGGCGTGTGGCACAGCGGCCGCGGAGGACCCACGCCACCTCATACAGTCGGCCCGGACTAGTACAGTGAGCGGCTTGAATAAGGAACACTCATTTTTCAAAAGGGGCTCGGTCGTTTTCCTTAGGTTTGCTGGCGTTATTTACAGTTCCTTATGCGTCATGTGTTATGTATCGTTCCTTATGCGTTATTCCTTGGGATAAAAAAGGGGCTTCGTTCCTTATCTATCGTTCCTTAGGTCAGGCCGATGACTGCAGGTCGACCCTGCCAAATCAAGGGTACCCTCGCGTCCTGCGTCTCGGGACCCATGCCTTCTGCATTCCTGTGGCAGCGCGGCCCTCGGAAAGGGTCTTTGGTCCTCTCGCGTGCCCTCCCCAACCAAGTCCGACTGTGCGCGAGTGCAGCCTGCCCCGCTCCCAGAAAGGTCAGGAGAACCTCGCGCGGATCAGCAAGGGCCGCGCACGGCCGTGAGGGCGGCATCATCCGGCGGGAAGCCAGCCTCCGTGGCGGCCCCCTCCTCCTCCTCCTCCTCCTTCTCCTCCTCCTCCTCCTCCTCCTCCTCCTCCTCCTCCCCCTCCTCCTCCTCCTCCTCCTCCTCCTCCTCCTCCTCCTCCCCCTGCCCCTCCCCCTCCTCCGCCTCCTCCTCCTCCTCTCCGTCCTCTCCGTCTGCTCTTGCTCCCTTCCCCGCCTCGCCCTCACCCCGCAGCCTCCTCCACCTGCTCCACCCTCCACGTGTTGTCTCGGCGCCCCCCCCGGGGAGCTGGGCGCCCCTGGACCTCCCTGGCCTCCTGGCTCCCGCGAGCTCGATCGGGCAGCCGCCCAGAGGCGCGGACTGCTACGGCAGGTGTGCCCGTCGCTGGGCGCGGCGGCGACGGCGGCGCCGGCTTTCAAGGTTGAGCACCCTGTCAGGCTAGGTAGTTCAAAGAGCCCACGCGAAACCCGTGCGAAAGCTGGGCTCGATGGCATGTGGGGATCTCTGAGAGTGGAGGCCGTTCAAGGTGGAGCGGTGCGCGCCGGTTTAGAGCCCGGGGCCCATGTTGTCAAGGCGGGAGCGTGTGGTATCATGTTTGATCGGTTTCGCCTAGCGCATGCTGGTCGGTGTTTGTCAGGATCGCGTTTGGCATGTACGTGTGGGATCGAGGCTTCCTTGTACAGAGCCGAGTTGTCGTCTGGATTGGATCCAGCTGACACGCGCTGCTTCGATTCTGCCCATGACGGGTCACACTGGTACATGCTTCGCGCATCTTAGCTTGGATCCGATCCCTCTGGAGCGTTCTGAAGATGTGTGCGCAGATTGCGATTGGTGCTTGCGGTAAACGAAAGACCGTCTGGGGCTGTTGGCATTGCTGGACTAGGCAATCTGCATTAGGCTTAACTGGGGGGGTCATAATTACCTCATACGTGCGCGTTCTATGAATTGTACGGCCTCGCCTACCTGCAGTTAGAGAAGAGTTCTGGTATATCGGGACCTGCCTGTGCAAACTTGGAGGATGGACAAGTTGTTGAATGTTGGGGAAGAACCATATTTCTCTGTTGCTGCTGTTTTCCCATCCCCCCCCTCTCCCGAAGGTGATGTCGGAGGGCTCGGTGCGCGGGCGGAACCCATCTGCGATCTTGATGGCGCGGATCCGCAAGGCTCAGTTCGCGCAGTGACTGCGGCAAGGCAAAGGGTTGCGCGCGCCATCTTCGTCCCGTCTGCAGTCGTCGCTCTTTCCCAGACGCGAATGTGTAGTTAGCATGCACAGGGCAGGATGAGGGCTACAGTAATGCAAGAGTCGCTGTGCGTGCGTTCGCGGTGCACTACATCATGAAAGTAATGATTCAATGTTGAACCCATCTTGAAAGGGGCAGGCAGCGTGTCAACAGATTGTTGCCGGTAAGACCACGCTGCGGGTGAAAAGGGGGCTCGGGAGGGCTTGGCGCACGCGATCACTCACGACAGTCCCGCACGGGGTTGGCAATTTATACAGTGAGCGGCTTGAGTAAGGAACACTTACTTTTCAAAAGGGGCTCGGCCGTGCCTTAGATTTTACATGCGTTATTTACAGTTCCTTATGCGTTACTTATTATTTAACGTTCCTTATGCGTTATTCCTTGGGATAAAAAGGGGCTTCGTTCCTTACTGCGAAGGCCTTACGGCCGGTGCCGCCGACCCTGAATGGCGACGACGAGACGAACGACGACGACGAGCGCTCTGGGGGCCTCGGGGGCGTAGTTTGTAGGCCTCCTGGAGCTATGAGGGGTCGCTTGGAAGCCCGGGGGGGCCTCTTTGGGCCTTCATGGGGGTATCTTGGAGGGGGCTGGGACGTCGTGGAGATTCTCGGACGTCTTGGGGATCTATCGTGGGGTTTGCGGCATGCTTCTTTGAGGCGAATCGGAGCCCTCTTGGGCGAGTCTCGGGGACGCAAATTTGTTTTTGGACAAATTTGGACATCATTTGGAGTGTTGTTTAGCGATGGGGCGTCGAGGGCCCACCCGAGGGAAACACGAATCGGGCCCCCCCCCCCACACCCCCCCCGGGACCCCCCCCACACCCCCCTGGGACCCACCCCCGGGACCCCCCCCCCCTCCCGGGGAAGGGATCGAAGGGAAGGGGCTTCCCTTCGACTCGGTGACGACACTGCTAGATTTTTCTCTCGCTCACGAGCTTGAGAAGGAAGCTGCAGGGAAAGGGGGCGACGGAGGCGACGACCGACGGAGACGACGACTCGAACAGCCAAGCCCCTCGCACACGCCGACAGGGTCGGCGGATTTATCGTTCCTTAGGTCAGGCCGATGACTGTAGAAGACGCGTTCTGGCAAGTCGCCGCCGCACCCGTGGTCTGAAAAGCCAGCGGGCATGAATGCGGGTTCTTAACGGCTTTCTGGATCCTCTTGCTGCCTCATCGGCTGCTCGTGGAAGCTGTTCGGCCTTCTTGGCGACCTCCCTCTTTTGCCGTCTTCAGACCCGACCCTCTCGGAGCTCTTGGGGACAATCTTGAGGATCGTTGGGGCTGTCTTGAGATAATGGTTGCTCGTCTTGGAGGCCGTCTTAGGGCCTTCTTGGGCCGTCTCCAGGCTGCAGGCGGTACAAAAGGACAGCAACATGTTACACTATCCCTCCTTTCCTCCTCGCCCAGGTCTCCATAGCTCTCCAGAGGTTCCCAGAGCTCTGGAGATCGCCAGAGGCCCCTGCATGTCTTTAGATGCCCTGCAGAGGCCCCCAGAGGCAACCAAGAGGCAGAAAAAACTTCCAGAGGCCTCCACGAGGTCTCCAGAGCACTCCAGAGGTCGGGACGAGCGGAACGGAAAGAATGGGTACGAAGACCGACAGTTGCTCATTCTGAATAGGATTCGATGTCGGCGTCGCCGCGGACGTTGTCCATTTGAGACAGAGGCCGCCTGCCCCACAGCGGGCGCGGCCTGCTTTGGGCGACACTTGTTGTTGGGCATCGCACCCCCCTTTCCGTATCCGCTTCGGGCGTCCACAAGGGGCCTTCGGAGGCCTCCACGGGCCGCCAGAGGCGCCAAAGTTGGGGGGCGCGTAACTGGGGGGGGAGATCATTGGGGGGGGCATTGAGAGCTGCAGAAAAGGGGCCCTTTAGTAAATCAGGACGCCTACAGGGGCCCTCTTTCGGCCCCAGAAGGGGGCCTTGAGGGCCCGAAAAGGATACCTATACCCCTCCCCCATTTATCGTCACCCCCTTTATTTCGCGCCCAACAATGCGGCAGGACGACGTCCAGTGGCCTCCGCCGCCCCTTCTCTCGGGGCGCCGGATCGGCCGCAGGCGCGGGGTGGGGCGGGGTCCAGGGTCCTCGAGACGGGGGTCAGTGCAAACGGGGGTCCGCCAGAGCGCCGGACCTTGCAGGATCCCGCCGAGCCTGGGGTGCATTGACCCGGGCGTGCGCGCAGGATCCTGCAGGGCCCTGCAGGATCCTGCAGGATCTTGACCGACCCAGGCTTTGTATGGACCCGAGTCAGTAGAAGCCCGGGGGTGCACACCATGGCGGGGGCCACGAGATCTCTCCGATGTCTTGCCCCTCTCTTCTTCGCCCCCTGGCCGCCCCCCCCCCTCGTCCGCGCACACGCCTCGAGCCACGAGTCCACTGGCCGCCTCCCCCGCCACCAAACCCCCCCCCCCCCTTACCACCCCTTGTCCTCTTCCCTTCCCTCTTCACCTGTGAGCTGTTGTTGACTTGAGCCACTCGTCGCCTCCTCCCTCACCCCTCCCTCACACATCCCTCCTTTTCTCACTTCCTCCTTCATCCCACTCTCTCCTTTCCCTTTTCCTCAATCTCCCTCCCCTCTCTACTCCTCACTTTCATCCTCCCTCATCCCTCCTCCTACTCCGCCTCCTCCTCCTCCTCCTCCTCCTCCTCCTCCTCCTCCTCCTCCTCCTCCCCCGCGCACATGCCGTGTGCCACGAGGTGCTGACACTCCTCTTCCTGGCCTCGTCCTTCGGCGCACACGAGAGTCGGGGGGGAGCGCCTCGGGCCCCGCCATGGCCGCGCCATGGCCGCTGTGCGCGGGCGAGGAGCCCGCCGCCGCCGCGCTGTCGCCGCCGCCGCTGCCTTCGCCTGTTATACCGTGTCTGCGTTGTTTAGCCTGTGGATATGGGTTTTTCCAAATTTTAGGAGCTGGCCTCCGGTCTCGAGGCCTCCAGGGACCTCTTACATATACTTCCCGAGGCCTCGAGCCGACGCCGGTCGTCATCGTCATCGTCGCCGCCGTGGTCGTCGCCGTGGTCGCCGCCGCCGTCGCCGCCGTCGCCGTTGCCGTCGCCGTCGCCGTCGCCGTCACCGTCGCCGTCGTCGTCGCCGTCGCCGTCGCTGTCGCCGTCGCCGTCGCCGTCGCCGTCGTCGTCGTCGTCGTCGTCAACGTGTCCTCGTCGTCGTCGCTCCTCTCTCCTCTCCCTACTTCCCAAGCGGCGCGCGCGCAAGAGCGCGCGTTCGGAGGGAGGCGGGGGAGGAAGAGAAGGGGGAGGAAGGGGAAGAGAAGGAGGAGGAGTGGTGGGACGCAGGCATGGCGGAGTTCCGCGAGCTCCCGTCTGAGCTACCCTCTACCCCTCCAGTCATGTGGGAGGGATACACGCAGGTCGTTTACACTGGTATTGCTGGCTTCCAAGATCCCAATCTGTATCAAGCGCCTTCCTACTTCAAGAGCCGATGCGCTTTTGCTGTGGTTTGCTATTCTCTGGGAGGGCCTGAACTCAATCCACTTGATCCGCCTTCCTACTTCAGGCTTTACCCTCCTCCTCCTCCTCCTCCTCCTCCTCCTCCTCCTCCTCCTTTTCCTCCTCCTCCTCGTCCTCCTCCTCCTCCTCCTCCTCCTCCTCCTCCTCCTCCTCCTCCTCCTCCCCCTCCCCCTCCCCCTCCCCCTCCCCCTCCAGTCCTGTGGGAGGGATAAGGCAGCACGATGGGGGCCCGGCCTCGAAGAAGCCGGAAAAGGAGATGGTGCCGGCCCACGGCGCTCGCCGCCTGTGCGCCTCGGCCCTCTCGGCCTCTCGGCGGCGGCGGGCCTCGCCCCGCTGGCGTCGAGCAGGTAGGAGGGGAGGGAGGAGGAGGAGGAGGAGGAGGAGCAGGGACGGGAGGAGGAGGAGGGAGGGGAGGGAGGGAGGAGGGGGGTGGGAGGGATGGAGGGAGGGAGGGAGGGAGGGATTGGTTGAGGGAGGGAGGGGATGGAGGGAGGGAGGGAGGGAGGGAGGGGAGGGAGGGAGGGAGGGAGGGAGGGAGGGAGGGAGGGAGGAGGGAGGAAGGGAGGGAGGGGAGGGAGGGAGGGAGGGAGGAGGGAGGCGGAGGGAGGGAGGGAGGGAGGGAGGGAGGAGGAGAGGAGGAGGAGGAGGGAGGAGGAGGAGAAGAGAGAGAGAGAGAGAGGTGGAGAGGGGGGAGGGGGGGCCGAAGGAGGAGGAGGAGGAGGAGGAGAGGAGGGTTGGGAGGAGGAGGAGGAGGAGGAGGAGGAGGAGGCGGGCAGAAGGAGGTGTGGGGAGGAGGGCCGAGCCAGGAGGGATGACTTTGTTGGCAGGCGAGGCAGCAGCACCAACAATAGTTCACCCTGGCCCCTGTGCGCGGCAACCCGCGGACGCACTGGGCCAGCAGCGCCGCCGCGCTGCCGTCCGCCGCCACCACGTGCCACTCGCTCGAGCGCGGATGTGCCGTGCATTCGCCGACGTCACGGACCAGCACTCCGACGCTGGATGTGTTTTTGTTCATGCTCTGAGGCAGGCCTGGGGCCATGATGCTCCAGCCTACGATAGCCTTGATCACCAGAAAGAATTTCGAGCGCCAAAAAAAGTATCGAAACTCGAGGGTTTTCACGTGGCGGGCCCTGGGAGACATTCGCCCGACACTGTTTCGACACTCTTCTGACATTCTTCCGGGTGCTCGACATCATTTCTGGGATGCGGTCCTTCAAGTAGGATGGGAACACCATAAGCTTGGGGTGAGAAGACGTCGCTCCAGAGCGTCCTGGAACGCCCTCAGAGCCAGAGCGCTCGGGGGTGGACAGAATCCCCAACAGTGACACGTCGATGAGTGAATTGTCCGTTTTCGGTTCTCGAGAGGGCGCCGTGGCCGCTATGTTCCAGGCCTGCGCCCGCCAGGTTTGGGCCTCAGGTCGTTTTCACTAAACCACGTTTTACTAAAGGGGGGTCTGTCCATCCCCGAATAAGCCTGGGGTGAGAAGACGTCTCTCCAGAGCGTCCTGGGACGCCCTCTGAGCCGGAGCGCTCCCGAGCGCCCTGGGGCGGGCCGTGGTGCCCGAGGCATCCCCCAGCCCCGTCGGCTCCCAGAGAGGGTTCACTGCCGTGGTGATCGCCGGCGTCGGCGTGACTGCCGAGGGCGACGGCCGGTGCCACGGCCAACGCTCCAGAGCGAGGGGCGCTCGGGGGCGGTCGCGGCGCCCCGTGCGTGTCCTCCAGGCCCGTCGGCTCTCGGAGGAGGAGGAGGAGGAGGAGGAGGAGGAGGAAGAGGAGGAGGAGGAGGAGGAGGAGGGGGTGAAACACTTTTTGATCCGCGGGTCGAGAGCGCACCTCTTCCGGTCGAAGCTCAGCGGGCGGGGCGCGCGAAGCTTGAATGAGGCAGGGATGGGGGAGGAGAAGGGGGGCGCAGCCTCAGAACGAGGCCGGGAGGAGGCAAAGCCTCGGAGTCAGGCGGTGCCGAAGCAGACGTACTTGCAAAGGGGGGGGAACACACCGACACGATTGATCGTCGACCCCCAGGGACATCTGGGAAAATACGGGAAGTGGGGGGGAGAGAAAAGCCCAGAAAAGGTATGAAAATGAGAATATGGGGGAACCCTCTTGTTTGTGTTTAGTTGTTTGTGTGTCCCGGGGCCCCTTCAAACGTCGGCACCGTAAGTTCGGTGGAGTTGACCGCGGCCGCGCGGAGTGAGCAACTAAGGAGTGGGGCAGGGCAGCATAGAATGGGAGATCGTCCGCGCCGGAACTTGCCCTCACCCCGCCTTCGTCTTCCTGCGAGGCCATGCGGTTCGCGACTCCTCCTCCTCACCTGCCTGGTCCCCGTCTCCCTCTACGCGGCGCGAGAGCGCGGAAGCTCTCTACGCGCGAGGCGCGCGGCGCGAGCACGGCTGCCTCCTGCAGCCGCCGCCGTCACGGACCCGGGCCCCGATGGCCCGATGCCTCGCGCTTGGCATCGCTCGGACGTGCGCATTCTTCTCTTGGCGAGGACCCTCGAGGAGCATCCTTGATTCTTCAGCGAAGGAACCACGCGCAAAACCGAGCAAAAAGCACAGGGAATGGACGCCCGAGCGATGGCCAGCGCGTGCCGCGCCGCGGCCTGTCGCCCCGTCGCCGCCGAGGCGCGCGGCCGTACGCGGCGGCGGGGCCCGCGCCGGCGGACGTCGGGGGGGGGCAGCTGGCGGCGCGGCGCCATGAGTCATCGGGGCTGGACAGGCCTCCTACCCTGACGCGTCGAGTAAGGAATTGGCCGTCTTCGGTTCGCGAGAGGGCGTCGCGGCCGTCGTTTTTGCGGGTCCAGGTCCGTCGGTTTCGGTCCCAGGCCGTTTTCACTCAGGGGAGGTTTACTGAAGGGAGGTTTGTTCATCGCCGAAGTCACCTCCCTGGCTCAGGGGGTCACTGGAGCTCATGCGTTCATCGTGGTACTGTCTTACTTCCTGGATGTCCAGTGGCCTTCGGCCCGTCCCGCCACCCTGCCTGGGTTGTGGGTCGGAGTTTTTAGGGATGTTTCTTCGGGGCGCCCTCGGGGGCACGTATGGGGGCACGTTTGGGGCCTTTGGGAAGCCTCTTGTGGGGCCTCTTGGGAGCCTCTTGGGGCCTCTTGGTAGCCTCTTGGGGCCTCTTGGGAGCCTCTTGAGGGCCTCTTGAGGCCTCCTGGGGGGGCACTCGGGGCCGAGAGCTCGAAATGTCTGTTCGGGCTCCCCATCTGGGCCCCCTCTTGGGGCCGTCTTTGGGCCCTCTTGGGCCGTCTGTTGGGGCCCCCGTTGGGCCGACATGAGGCCCTCTTGGGGGCCTCTGGGGCCGTCTTGGGGCGATCTTGGGGGCCTTGTGGGGCCGTCTTGCAGCGTCGGAAAGCCGAAAAGGCGAGAAGGCCAAAAATCTTCAAAACCGCATGAACAGCTATGACGTTTGCCTCCTGGGGCCCTCTTGGGACGCCTCTTGGAACATTCTTGGGACGTCTTCGGGGCCTCTGGGGCCGTGTTGAGGTCGTCTTGGGCAAATGGGGGCAATACAGTGCCGTTTTTAATACATGCTCCGCGTGCGGATCATGTATGAAAAATGCAGGGATTCAGTATTAAAAACAACGATGAGTTCATGCATACATCTAGTCATAAATGAATCCTGTATTGAAAAACTTATATTTTACAAACATCCTATGCGTTAAAAACTGCCCCGTATTGTGCCTTCTCGCAGGCATCTTCGGCCCTCTCGGGCGCTTCTTCGGCCACTCTCTGGCCAGCGGCGCCACCGGAGGCCGCGCGCGACACGCCGAGGGAATCCCAGGGAAGCCCCAGCAGTCCCTGGAAGTCCCAGAGGAATTCCAGGGAATCCCAGGGAATCCCAAGAGAACCCCAGGGAATCCCCAGGGAATCCCAAGGGAATCCCAGGGAATCCCCAGGGAATCCCAGGGAAATTGGTGGCGGAGGCCGTTCAAATTACGTAGAACCCTGCAGCTCAGAACTTCTCAGGGCTGCATGAGCCTTGGGGCACTCCACTGCGTGCTGCAGGCGCGGAGGCGAAGTTTTGTCTCTGCGCCGGGAGATGACTTGGCGTTCGGTTGAGTAGCGCGGGGGGCCACGCGTCTTCAAGAGCAGCAAACTAAGGGTCCACTGGGGCCGTCGGCCGGGCCTGCGAGGCGACGTCTGCGGCTCCGCGATGGGCAACTCGGGGGCGCTGTTCGGGCCGGACGAAAGGGCGGGAAAAACACACAGACACGATTCATCGCCGACTCCCAGGAAAATATGGGAAAATATGGGAAGTGGGGGGGAAGACAGAAACCCAGAAAATATACGAAAATATGGGGAATCTTTTTATTTGTGTGCATTTATTTGTGTGTCTCAGGGCCCCTTCAGAAAGGGGGGGACTGGGAAAGGGGGGGGGGTACGAAATCTGCTGCATGCAGCTGGCCTCGGCCCCGCCGCCGGGCCCATTCCTCTATCGATGCACATGAGCGCCGAGGCGCCGGGAAGATCGGCTGCGTGAGCTGATGCTCAGACAACCCCCCTGTGCTAAGCTATCCCCCCCCTCGCCCGGCCCGAGCTGTGGATGGCGGTAGGATCTACCATCAAGCAGTGGCGAAGCGTCCCGGCTCGCCTATAGCCCTACCGAGCAATGCTCTAGGAACCTTCTGTGGTTTCCACGAAACGTCCTTAGAACATTTCTGGCGGAGTCTGTCTTGTTTTAACACGTCGGGTTCATGTTCTGAGAGCATTCATTGTTTTCGTTCTTACAGCATTTGTGGGTTCCAAGAACAAATCGTGGTAGAACTACAGGAATGCCGGGACGGTCGGTCCCTGCTCAATACCAGGAAGCGGGGGAGCTCCGGGCCTCCCAGGTGGGGCCGGGGGATGGCTGCGCGCCCGCGGCGCCTCGGCGGTGCGGCTCCGTGGGCCCAGGGTGGTCCTGGCCAGGGGGAGCGGCGGAGGTCCCGCCGCCCATGGGGCGGCGGCGCATGTCTGGACGCCTGCTGCTCCTCCTCCTCCTCCTCCTCCTCCTCCTCCTCCTCCTCCTCCTCCTCCTCCTCCTCCTGCTCCTGCTCCTGCTCCTGCTCCTGCTCCTCCTCGTCCTCCTCCTCCTCCTCCTCCTCCTCCTCCTCCTCCTCCTCCTCCTCCCCGCACTGGGTGCGATGCCCGACAGCAGTTCCTGTTCATTCTGAACTCGGGGGCGGAAAAGAGGGGGGTGATGACTAGGGGGGGTGGATATCGTGGCGTGGGCCATGATACTTCCCCAGATATCATGGCGCCTCTTCTTATTTCATGACGTCCCTGGCCCCCCCCGCTGGGCCGCGCAGATGCCGCCGGTCATGATCTGCACCCCCCCTCTTGGACACCCCCCTCTTGTTGGCCGCTCCCGATGAACAGGACTCGCTGTCCGCGCCTCAACGGCCTGTGTCCGTGCGAGACAGGAGGTCGCCCGCCCAACAGCGGCTGCTGTTGGTTTGGGGCAACATTTGCTGTTGGGCATTGTGCCCATTCTTTCCGTCCCCATTTCGGGCGTCCAAAGCATGGGGGGCCTTTCCCTGACTTAGGATCTAGTCGGGCCTGTCCCCCTACAGGGGGAATATTCAAAAATCGTAAAAAATGGTATGGGGGCGATTTTTTTACTATTTTGGGGCATCTTTTGAGCATTTGCTGAATATTTTTGATTTTTCATCCAAAATCCCCTCCTGTAGGGGGACAGGCCCGACCTAAACTTAGGAGGGCGACAAAACAGCACCAGGACGTCGACGTCCAAGCTCCGGTCGAGATTCTAGGCAGTCCAGACAGGTCTATAGGTCTGGAGGGCTACTCTTCAGCACTCTGGAGGGTCAGGATTGGTCCACCCCACTCCTGGCTGTGACGTGCCAGCAGCGGCCGCGACCGACCCAGTAGAAGGCGCTGGAAGGTGCGCCAGCAGATCCTCTCGGATTCTTTGGATCCCTCGACCCATCATGCCCCTGGGACTGGCCTCACTGCTACACGTCCCGGATCGTTTTCGGGGTATCCCGAGGCCAGAAAACGGTTCCCGCATGCAGACGATTGCCAAAAGGCGGTCGCCTTGATTAGTTTCGGACGTTGGAGGTGGGCTCTTCCGGCTCCTCCCCATAGGCGATCCTCGTCATCGATCCTTCTCCTTTTTTTCCCGGAAAGGGCGTGGGTGGGCCCAGGGTTCTCTTTTTCTAGGTAAACATATCCCCCCGTGCCCAATTTGAAGGAGGCCGGCGGATTCTTTCCCTGATAAATATCGAAGTCGAAGGAGGCCGGCGGATTAAAATTTGAGGATGTCTCAGGCGAAACGCTTGTTTTTGAAATCCCGATCGATAAATCACAGGGTGCGGGCCACCTCAGCACGACCACCACCGCCCCAGCACGACCACGCCCCAGCACGACCACGCCCCAGCACGACCACGCCCCAGCACGACCACGCCCCAGCACGACCACACCCCAGCACGACCACACCCCAGCACGACCACCCCCCCAGCACGACCACCCCCCAGCACGACACCGATCGATAAATACAGGGTGCGGACACCCCAGCACGACCACACCCCAGCACGACCCCACCCCAGCACGACCCCACCCCAGCACGACCACGCCCCAGCACGACACATCCCAGCACGACCACACCCCAGCACGACCACACCCCAGCACGACCCGATCGATAAATCACAGGGTGCGGACCACCCCAGCACGACCCACACCCCAGCACGAGCACGACCACACCCAGCACGACCCCACCCCAGCACGACCACGCCCCAGCACGACCACATCCCAGCACGACCACACCCCAGCACGACCACACCCCAGCACGACCCCACTCCAGCACGACCCCACCCTAGCACGACCATACCCCAGCACGACCACACCCCAGCACGACCAGACCCCAGCACGAGCACGACCACCCCAGCACGACCACACCCCAGCACGACCCGACCCCAGCACGACCCTACCCCAGCAAGACCACACCCCAGCACGACCACACCCCAGCACGACCACACCACAGCACGACCACACCCCAGCACGACCACGCCCCAGCACGACCACGCCCCAGCACGACCACGCCCCAGCACGACCACCCCCAGCACGACCACCCCCCAGCACGACCACCCCCCAGCACGACCACCCCCCAGCACGACCACACCCCAGCACGACCACACCCCAACACGACCATACCCAGCACGACCACACCCCAGCACGACCACACCCAGTCGCACCCCCGTGGAATGTTTCGTGGGGTGTCTGGTTGAGTGGTTGCCTGTTCGTGGGGTGTCTCGTGGAATGTTTCACGGGGTGTCTCGTGGAATGTTTCGTGAGGTGTCTCGTGGAATGTTTCGTGAGGTGTCTCCTGGGATGTTTCGCGGGGTGTCTCGTGGGATGTTTCGTGAGGTGTCGCCCAGTTGGTATCGTGAAAACGTGACCATGCTGCACATGTCTATATCCCATTTCCGGGTTCGTGGTCCCATCATGGCGTCCATCTACAGCATCTTCCCAGTCCTCGATCCTCCATCCGTTCCACTCCACTCCAAGTTGTACATCTTCCGGCTTCCGCCACGTCCTCAATCCCCTTCTCGATCTCCTATTCTTCATCCGAGGCTCATCCGACGACGACGACGGACGACGACGACGATCCTCTCCTCTTCATGCTCCCTTTCCTCATCCCCTTCTACTCATCCTACCTCCGCCTCCTCCTCTCCTCTCTCCTCCCTGTCCTCCTCCTCTTCCTACCTCCTCCTCCTCATCATCATATCCTCATCCCCTCCTCTCACCTCCTCCTCCTCCTCATCATCATTCTCATCTCATCTCATCAGCATCATCATCATTATCATCATCATATCATTATCATCACATCATCATCATTCCCCATCATAATCACCTACCTCATCATCATCATCATCATCATCATCATCATCATCATCATCATCATCATCATCATCATCATCATCATCATTATCATCATCCTCATCCTCATTATCCTCGATCCTCCTCTTCAACATCCTTCTCGTCCCCGCGGCACGCCGGAGGCGTGCTCCGGGCTGACCCTGACGCTGGGCGGCTACTTGGGGAGATGGCGCGCGGAGCGCAGGCTCGAGGAGGCCGGCCAATCCCGGCATCGCCAGAGCCATCTCGGCCTGTTCTGGGGCAGGAGCGGCAAAAAGCTTGTATTGGCTTTTCCATTCTTGCCCGTTAACCTGGCAGCCTCTTTCCTTTTTGTTCTTTTTTTTTTTTTTTTTTTCAGTTTTCTTTTTTTGTTTTCTCGGAACGAGGAGGAGAAGGAGGAGGAGGAGGAGGAGAGGAGGAGGGGGCACGGGGATAGAGGAGGGGGAGCGAGGAGGAGGAGGAGGAGGAGGAGGAGGAGGAGGAGGAGGAGGAAGGCGGAGGAGGAGGAGGAGGGGGCGGAGCATCCTCGCGTCGTGGCAAAAAAGTCACGACGGAGGGTCTGTGGCACTCTTCGGCCTCGAGGGGGTGCCACTGCTGTGCCCCAGGGCCGTGGAAGCATGGTTTTGTATGGAATGACGGTCTCCGGGAAAGGGTCCAGAGTTCTGGGGAGCTACGTTTCGAAACACGTCGGATGCAGATTGGAGGAATGAGCAAGAGGAGGAGGAGGAGGAGGAGGAGGAGGAGGAGGAGGAAGAGGAGGAGGCTGAGGAGGAGGAGGAGGAGGAATGAGGAGATGAGGGGGGAGGAGCAGGAAGGAGAGCAGCAGAAGCAGCAGCAGCATTAAGAGGTGGAGGAGGAGGAGGAGGAGGAGGAAGAGGAGGAGGATGAGGAGGAGGAGGTGGAGGAGAGCGTGGGATGACGGAAGAGAAGAAGAGGGAGGAGGAGGGGGAGGAGGAGGAGGAGGAAAGGAGGGAGAGGAGGAGGAGAGGAGAGCAGCGGATGATTGTTGTTGGGGGGGAGGGGGGTGTGGGGAAGGTGGACGAGGAAGAAGAGCAGTGGCAAGATGAAATTTGGGTATGATTTAGGAGGCAGGGTGGCGGCTGAAGATGAGGAGGGGGCGGACGAGAAAAGCGGAAAACATCGAGGAGAATATGGAGATGGGAGTATGGGCACACATGAAATAGGTGAGGTTATGAATGTTCTAGCTGGCGCTGAACACATAGCGGTGCACGTTCGACAGCTTGGGTCTAGAATACTGCACGTCCTTGCTCCGCCCAGAGCCCTCGAAAGGCCTGGTACTATGATTTAGCTTGGTGAGCAGTGCATCGACGCCGACGCTATTGACCTGGCATTGAAGAATGTGCTGGTAAGCGGCTGCCAGGGGCGCCTTCCCCTTCCTCCTCCTACACCTTCTTCCCCTCCTCCTCCGCCTCCTCCTCATCATCCTCCTCCTCCTGTGGCGTTGCTCAGCCCTGCGCGCGTCCTCATTGCCCTCTTCTCGCTAAGCGGGACGGTCTAGCGCTCCGACTCAGGCCAGCGTTGCTCTCCAACGGCAACGCCCGCCATGTAGTCCACCGTGTGATTCCGCGTGGTCATCCACCTCGGCGCTCGCTGCCTAACCACGTCCTCCCCAGTACAGGGGCAGCACATGAGCGAATGGAGAGGACTCGTCTCGTGAGCAGCTGGAGCCTTCAGGAGCAGGCCGAGCTGGGCCCACAGGTCGGCGTCCTCGCCCGTGGGGTCCTCGACTTCTGAGCGAAGCACCCTTGCACCACTGCCTCGCCGTCCGAGCCAAATGTGCGGCACGAACCGTAGCCCTGACCGCGGCGAGCAGCGCTCGAAGATCGCGTCCAGCAACCACTGGGCCGCAGACCTGTCAGCGGGCCATGGACACCGCCTTTGCTGTGCACAGGAGGCTCCGGAAGAAGGAGATAGGCAGTGGCGACGCCAACGCGGCGGAAGCGACACAGAACACCACGGAGGCCCGCCACTATCCGCCGTTGCGTCGCGTGCGGGGCTGCCAGGAGCTGCGGCTGCGGCCATGTCCTGCCAATGCGCTGAGGGACTCTCATCCACCGCCACCCAGACCACCCCAGCCCAACCCGAAGCCCCGATTGGCCCTCCATGTCCAGTGGGAGGGGGGAGGACGGGGAGCATTCAGAAACACATGTAAGCAACCCCGAATCCGTGTCTTCGGGTCGGGTCGGGGTGGTCTGGCAGCCGGCCACCTCGGGTGCGGCCCCGGGGCCCCTTCTGCCACTGCACGGGAGCGCGGGCTTCGAGGATCCTCGTCTGCGGCTGCCGCCGCTGCGACTGGTCCCCCGGTGCGGGCGCGGGGCCCCGCCCTTGGGCGCCGCGTAATGGGGGGGTCATAAATGAGGGGGTGGCGAGCGTGGTCCGAAAAGGTACCCAAACGGTACCTAAACGAGCCCCCTGGGGCTCTGGAGGGGCCCGAAAGGGGCACGAAAGGGGACCTTTTCTGACCCCCCCCCCCTTTGTTGTGAACCCCCAATTAAGCCACGCCCAACGCCCGAGAGCTCTCCACGCGGGGGGCCGCGAAGGGCCCCGGGCGCGGCCGCGGGGGGGCTCCTCTTGGGGTGCGACGCGCCCCTCCCAGGCGCTGCGCGCGGGGGGGCGAGGATCCTCTCTCTGCGTGGCCGCAGGGTGTCGCCCACGCGTCGCAGGCGGGGCTGCGACGATACTCGCGTGCAGCCACGGGTCCCAGCCTTCAGTGCGCTGCGCGGGGAGGAGGAGGAGGAGGAGGAGGAGGAGGAGGAGGAGGAGGAGGAAAAGGAGAAGGAGGAGGACGAGCGAGGCGGAGGAGGAGGAGAAAGGAGGAGCCTGGAGGAGCCCGGAGGAGCCTGGAGGAGCCCGGAGGAGCCCGGAGGAGCCCGGAGGAGCACGAGGGCCCACGCGCCCTCGGGGAGGCCTGCCCCCGCGCACGCAGCACGGCGGCCGAGCAGTCTCAGGCGCGGACGTACGGAAAGGTCCCGCCCGTGCGTCGAGCGTGGGGCTGGGAGGATCCCTGGTGTTTGTCACCCAGGGTCGGCCCTTGCACTGCTCGCGGGGTTGCAAGTTGCAGCGATTCTTACGTGTGGCTATGGGGCCCTCCCGCCATGGCGTTGCGCGGGGAGTTGCGAGGAGTCCATAGAGTGCCGCCCACTCGAGCCGCAGACAACACCAGGTATCCTGCATTATGTGTACAGCACCGCATGCATTGCACCGGATACTTTATACAGAAATGTATCACGTGCTTATACATTCCACAATGGAGTCATGCGGTTCCTTTGCGCCGAGAATGAGGAAGGGGCACGAGAGCAGAGGCTGAGCCACCAGTGTGGCTGCTGTGAAGCCTCCGCGATCGAGGGGCACTTCGACGCACGCGAGAGAGAAGAGCGGGATGGGCAAGCCGAGGCCGAGCCCGTGGGAAACGACCAGTAGGATTAAGTCGGGCCTGTCCCTCTACAGGGGGAATATTCAAAAATAGTTTTAAAAATAGTCTGGGGACTTTTTGGGGAATATGTTTTGACAAGTTTGGAGCATGTTTTGAGTACCTTCTTTTTGTTCGTCGAAAATCCCCCTGTAGGGGGGACACGCCCGACTCAACAGTAGGACGAGGAGAAACACGAGAAGGACGTTTTTTTTTTTACGGAAGCGGGAGGGGGTCGGAGACCAGCAGGAAGGAGATGATACGAGGAGTGCGACGGACCCCTCCGTCGACGTCGCCTTCTCCCTTCTCTCTGTATCGACCGTCGTGGCCCGGGCCGCAGAGCTGCCCTGCTCCAGGGCGGCGGCGCGAGGGTACGACGGTAAGCGCGCGCGCGTCGATGATCGTGCGGCACGGCGCCTGGAAGATCGCCACACCGTTAACGTGAGAATGCGAGTTAGACCAAAGCACCCGATGCATGCGATCAGTGATGCAGATCGGCCGGAACGAATACTGCAGGTGCTGAGTTTGAGTTGCGCGAGACGGCGCAAGTCTCGTTTTCCTTTTTGCTGTACGCCCACAGGTGTCACCCATCACTGCTAGCAGCGTGGTAGCGGTGGTTCGCCTGCTGCATTTGCGCGGATGCCATGTTCGACACAGTGTTGACCAGATACCGAATGTGATAGTTACTTGACGTTGCCACCATGAGAGTATGCGCTTCTCGGTGTGTGTTTAGACGATGCATATGTGTCAGGTGTGTCTCTGCCTATATCTCACTTCTTGTTCCAATTGATCATGATGCCGCCACGAGCGTGAACACAATGTACAGGTTCTGGCTCAGTCCAATGTCGGCCCTGGTTCGAATCACGCCGAGCGTTCAGAGAAACCCAATAATGCAGAAAACAAACAACGCTAGAATCGTCTCAGCGCATCCTCCTTCCTCTCCTCACGAATTGATCCTAGCGCAGTCTCCCCGATCAATTTCATAATTTTGCTCCAGAAAGATCGCTGCAACACAATGGTATTCTGGCGGAGGGCCGATCAATGCGACGATGACGAGGATGACGGCATGAGCAGCAGAATCCCAGGTTCCAGTGCGGCCGAATTTCTCGGTTCTGCAGCACCCAATATGACTCGTCGTCCCTGTTGTCCATATTCCTTTTCCCCCTCTCCTCTCTTCTTTCTTGTTTCTGGTTGCCTCGATGCTGCCGCGCATGCCCAGAGGCCATGAAAGGAAGCTGCCCGCGCGAGCTGGAGAAAGCCGCCAGGCACTGCTGGGGGCGGGGGGAGGGAGAGGCGGCAGTGGGGCATCCTCCCCTTGGCCTCCTCCTCCTCCTCCTCCTCCTCCTCCTCCTCTTCCTCCTCCTTCTCCTCCTCCTCCTCCTCCCCTGTCCCTCCCCTTCCCCTCGCCCCCATCTCCCTCCCTTTCCTCCCGCTCCTTCTCCTTCCTCCTTCCCTACCTCCGCCCCCCGTACATCTTTCTCCCCCTCCTCTTCTAAGATATCCTCCTCCTTTCCCCCCTCCTCGCCGAGAAAAGGTGGTTGTGTGTGACTGTGTTTGCGTACGTGCTCAAGTGGATTTCCTTGCATCCCGTTGAGCGATTCTGTGTCTGAGTGGAGGTTCTGTGTCCCAAACACCGCATACCGAACACCACACTCAAAACACCAGACAAAAAACAGGAGTCCGTAGTCTTCTGCTGGGTTCCGCAGGTTTCCTCGGAATTCCTCAGCCCCTTTCGTTCATAGCCCTTGCCCTTCCCTTGGCGCTGGCTCTTGACGTCGCCGGTGCGCCACGGTTCGAATCTAGAAGATTGATGCCACGGTCTTGTTGACAGGAAGTTTTTCGGGACAAGGGCACTTTTGCCGAAGCCGTACGTGTTGGTGTTGGGGGGGGCGAGGCCATGGGGCGTATGGGAATTCACCGACATTGGCACCGCCGACAGGGTACTGGGTGGGTGTAAGACGGGCAGGGAATGTGGCAGCCCTGGCCGAAGGAGAAGAATTGATAGAGAGATAGAGAGACGAGGCCCACGGTGGTACCAAGATGTGGTCTTCGAGGCCCTATCGTGACACAGAGGGGAAATATGGAAAGCAGCATCTGGTCGGTCGACCTTCTGTGGCGTGCTCGGGAAGGCGGTGCGTTGGATGCCTCCTGGAGAGTAGGGGGGTATAGTAGATTTCCCACAAACGCCTTGAGTCAACATGGCCTGAGCCAAAATGGCTACGGACTACCCCACCTCCTGCCTCTTCCTTGTCCTCTTCCTGGGTTGCAACCGACTTGGCCAGCCCTGTGTCACCTTGCTGGCTCACGGGCTTCCGTGTGAAGCCCGACGCGCCTTCGCCCGCGCCATGGCTGGAGCTTCTGCGCGAGGCTGGCCGGTGTGGCGTCGGCTCTCTCTTTCTCTCCCCCCAGGCTACATGGGAAAATATGGGAAGTGGGGGGGACGACGAAAGCCCAGAAGGTATGGAAAAACATGGGGAATCCTGTTCTTCGTGTCTATCTACTCGTGCGTCCCAGGGCCCACTTCTCACCTCGTGGTGCGTGTGGCCTGCAGCCGCTCGGGCAGGCAGAGCAGAGCGCCCCGGCCGTCAGGGGGGAGCGCAGGCCCGCCTGGGCCAGCGGAGGGCCCTCCCGGGGCGGCGGTTGCGCGCGAGCCCCGCACCGCGCGGCGCGACCCGCGAAGTCGGGCCGCCCTGCTCTGCCGGCCCCGATCGTAAGGAATGCCGAGGAGTCGGCCTCCCACGACGTCAGCGGTGTTGCCGGGGACGTCAGCGGCCTCCCACGACGTCAGGAATGCCGAGGAGTCGGAGGAATGCCGAGGAGTGTTGCGCGACCCGCGCGGTTGGGCCGCCTTTCAAGCAGTGGCGAGGCGTCCTGGCTCGCCTATAGCCCTACCAGACAATGTTCTGAGAATCTTCTGTGGCTTCCACGAAGTGTTCTCAGAACATGCCTGGTTGAGACCTGTCCTGTTTTGACACATCGGGTTCACGGTCTGAGAACATGGTATTTGCTATTCGAACAGTTCTGGGTGCTAAGAAGATTTCGTGGTAGGACTATAGGAGTGCCGGGACGGTCGGTCCCTGCTCAAGCCTTGCTCTGCCGGCATCGATCGTCAGGAATGCCGAGGAGTCGGCCGCCCAGTGTCGCCCGTGTGGAGTCCCAGTTGGACTCCCACGACGTCGAGTGGCGTGAGCTCTCGGCCAAGCTGCTCTGTAAGACGTGCTCCATGCACACGACCAGCAAGCCTGCTGGTCTCGGGAGCCCTTGCCTCCTCCTCCTCCTCCTCCTCCTCCTCCTCCTCCTCCTCCTCCTCCTCCCGCCGGAAAATGGCCTTGGGCGGAAGATTTCCGCGGCGGCGTTGCGCAAGCGGAGGCGGTTCTTGAAGAGCCAGCATGCCAAGTGCGGCGAGAGCGCGACGATCACCGCGAGCTGGCCGGTGTCCCGTAATGTGCTCAAAGCACCGGTACCCGTGCCTGCATAGGCCTGCGCATGGCGCCGCTTTTCGCTCGCTGGCTCCCTTGGGCCCACATCGCAGGATGAGGGCTCCTGCGCCTCCTCCCCCCCCCCGGGCGGCCCGGGAGTCGGGCCAGAGAGGTTCGCGTACAATGCGGGCGTCGACTTCGCGCGCGTCGAGGATGCGCGCAACGACGCGCGGCGGCTGCGCGCGGAGGCGCGGGGCCCGGGGAGAAGGGGGCGGCGGATGCAGGGGGAAGGGGGGTGGCTTACGGGGAGGAGGAGGAGGAGGAGGAGGAGGAGGAGGAGGAGGAGGAGGAGAGAGGAGGAGGAGGAGGAGGAGGAGTAGGAGGGGAGGAGGAGGAGGAGGAGGGGGAGGGGAGGGGGAGGGGGAGGGGGAGGGGGAGGGGGAGGGGGAGGAAGAGGAGGAGAAACCCGAGGAGTCATTGGGAGGAGGAAGAGGAGGAGGAGGAGGAGGAGGAGGAGGAGGAGGAGGAGGAGGAGAAGAATGAGATGGTGGTGTGGGGAAAGTCGTTCTGGAAAGGCTGAAGGCTCTCTCTCTGTCTCTCTCTCTCTCTCTCTCTTTTTCCTCTCTCTCTCTACCTCTCTCTCTCGCGTTCCCCCCTCCACTCCTCATGAAGGACAGGGGTCCTGAGAGAAACACCCCCACACCCCCAGGACATGCTGTAGTTCTACCGCTCCCGAGGCCCTCCCGGGGACGACAGCAAATTGCTCGGGATTGGAGATCGGTCCTTGGGGGGAGGCCCGGGGGTCCAGGACCCGCATCTCGCAGCGGGACACGCAGCGTCTGAAGGGCCGAGGACGCTGCGCTCGCAGAGCACCCGGGAGCCCAGAGCGGTGTTAGAGTCCACATTGTGTGTGCTCGGGTTCCCCGGCCTCGCTCTGAGGCTCCGCCGCTTACTCCCTCCTCTTCTCTGCCAAATTCAAGCTTCGCGCGGCCCGCGTAGCTTCGACCGGAAGAGGTGCGCTCTCGACCCGCGGATCAAAAGTGTGTTTGGGTTCCCTGCGGCCGCCTACCTCCCCCTTTGATAGACCCGGGCAGCGGCCGAACATCGGCCTCGCTTCCAGGACACAGCTTTGGCTTGGCTGGGCTCCTCGTGCGTCGGTCAGCCCCTCGCCGCAGGCGTCGCGGAGGGAAGCCGCGGGCGTTCAGCAGCGCTGCTTTTTTTTTTTTCGGCAGCCCGCGCGTTGTCAGTTCTTCCGGCCCACGTCAAGCGACGCCCAGCGCTCGCTGCATCCCGGGAGGCGCCCGGAGGAAAGTGCCAGGTTGCAATAGTAAGGATGAGCAAAACACATCCCACTCTTGCACGTTGGCTAATTCGCTTTTCGGTGCCCCCGTCTCGCTCTTTCGCTGGTGCAGCCAACTCTGCCTCGCCGCCAACGGACAAACGTGCGCGGGCGTGAGGATCAATACGTGATAGGCGGAGCCGCGCTGACACACTGTCAGGGGAGAGAGGAGAGCAGTGCCCAGACTCAGCACCTGTGAAGGGGAGGAAGGGGAGGAAGGCAGAGGGGAGGAGAGTGGTTTGGAAGCGGGGGGCTGGCGCGCAGCAAGGCTGTGCATGCCGTGTGAGGGTCGGGCTCTCGTGCCGATGAGGTGATCACGGGCAGGCGCAAAGAAGTGAGATGCATTCCCCAGCTTTGGGCCTGAAACTAGGCGTGGAATTGGCCGAGGGGGCGCGATCAGGCCCTCATTATGCCAAAATCAGCAACGCCCAGAAGGAAGTTCGAGGCCAATGCTTCTACAACTGAGTCCAACGTTCGGACAGAGTTTGGATCGAGTTCTGCGGCGAAGAAGCGCCGACTATCCAGAGCGCGTTAGAACTTTTCGTGGACTCCCGAATTGGGGTTGAACGTTTTCCAAACTCTTCCAAACGTTGTCCAAGCTATGAAACTTGGTTCGACGTGTTTTCAAACGTGTTCCAAACCCTGTTGAACCAATTGAAATGTTTCCGACCTCTCCCTGAACTTTGAATTGTTTTCGAACTCTTGCTTTCCTTGAGTTCCGAACTCGAACTTACAATTGTCCCTCACCCGAACTCAAGCCCAAATTTTATTCCTTTTTCCAGGAATGACGCGCTTGCCCCCCTCAGCCAATTACGAACTAGACGTCAAACCGAGAGGGCCGCCAATCAAACAATAACGGATGCAGCGAATCACAAACCCGCCCAAGTCACAATCGAACCCCTAACCGCCCAGCCCATCCCTCCAGTTGAGTTCGCGCCTTGGCAACATTCGCATAGTGGAGGAAGGAGGAGGCTCGAAGGAGGCAGGAGGGTGCTGGTACAGTGGGAACCATGCCAAGAACCACCCTGCTCGTCTCCAGGGTGCCCTGGGTTTCTTGGGTGTCGATGGTGTCGCTATGAAAGCGTGACGCTCCTACACCAAACGTAAGCAGACGTCTTGGGGTCTCAGGGTTGGATTTGTTGTGGAAGGCTTCTTGTGGCCGAGCTCCTAATGTAGGTGGGGACGTACTTGGGACCGTGTCGTGGCAGCCCCAGCTGCTCTTCCTGCCCCCAGCCTGAAAACAGCGCTTCTCGCAGGAGCAGCTGGCGCGGAGGAGGCCGAGGGAGGGCGAGGGAGGAGGGCAAGCTGAGCCAAGCAGAGAGAGCGAGCGGGAGAGGAGAGGCAAAACTGCATGCCGCAATGGCAACGAGCACGAACTCAAACAAATGCTTGCCAGACACTGCGAGTTTGATGTCAGGCGCCACACTCCTTGGGAAAAAAGGCCCGCGTGCTCCCTTACGTCTGAACACTGCCTCGGGCGAAAGCCGCTACGAAGGAAAGGAGGGGAGTTGGGTCATTTGGTGGTCACGAGTGCTCAATTCTGCTGGCGGGCCAAGCGTTTTGTTCTTTCCTTACCAAACAAAAAAACTGCCGGGTCATGGGCATCTCAATGAGGTTGTTCTTACCGGCGAGCGGCGCCCAGGAGCCACGAGGCGCCAGCTCCAGGCTGGGTTCGTGGGTGCGGGTGGGCCCCCGTGGCGATGCGGCGCCCAGGCATCAAGAAAGCAGCTGTCCTCGGGCAGGGGGCCACGGCGGACGAGAACCGTCGGCGGGGAGCGGCGAAGAATTCACGGACAATGAACGCGCGACATTGAAATGGGGCTTGGTTTGCAGGAAGCACTCAAGGGAGGAAAAAACACCCGGACCGGACAATTGACATTTACCAAACGGCCTTGGGCGTTTACTATAAACAGCCCTGCCCTATTCCTTCTCTGGGTGCGTTTACTCAACGGTTTCGCGTGTCGGGGTGGTTATGATCGGGGTGGATTTTCTGCTCTCTAAGCACGGAGCCGAGAATTCAGGACATTTGTTTTTTTTCTGACCAGGTCCGAATTTAAGTACGAGTTTTTCCGGGAAGATGTTCCCTCCTCTGGAGCCGTGCACAGCACAGTAGTTCAATTGGTGTCTCCACGGGCGAAAGCCAAACATGAAATTCTTCGCATTAGTATAGGACCTTGCCTCGGCCCCCCTCTTCCAAGAACAATCACACGTGCCAGAAACAACAGGGCAAGCAAGAGATGGCATGGCGGAAGGCGACATCTGAGCGCTCGGAACACGGAGCGAAGCAGATGCGTTCGAGGAAGCCGAGTTGGGTTGTGGCCAAGTTGGCAGGTCACGAGCGAGCGATCACGCATCGCGTACTGTTCCCAGACCACGGCGCCTCCCCCAGGACCAGCTCGTCGTCCGAAACGGTTCTCGCTGAAGCTCCAGGGGCCCAGTCGTGGAGGGCCCCAGGGCCCCGGAGGCGCCGACAAAATCCAGTGCCCGATTCCATCATGCTGATCCCCCCATCCCCCTCGCCACCCCTCGCCCCTCCCCTGACCGCCCCCCCCCCTCCCTTTCGCCTCCCCTCCTCGCTCCTCCCCTGCCCACACCCCTGTATATACTCCCACCCACCCACCCACCCCGCCACCCCTCGCTCCGTCCCCTCTTCTTCTCGCCACCCTTCGGCGCCCCCCTGCTTTTTCCCCTCGCCTCTCCACCCACCCACCCCGCTCGCTCCGCCCCGCGTCCGGCTGCGCGCGCGCTGCTCGCCCTCACGCCTCGCGCGGGCAGGAGCTGCTGCGGGACGCTAGGGCTGGCGCCGCGGCGCCGTCGAGAGCGGCGCGAGCGGCCCTCATCGAGTCGCTTCCTTGCCACCTCTGCCCATAGCGGAGGAGGAGGAGGAGGAGGAGGAGGAGGAGGAGGAGGAGGAGGAGGAGGAGGAGGAGGAGGGGAGGAGGAGGAGGAGGAGGAGGAGGAGGAGGAGGAGGAGGAGGAGGAGGAGGAGGAGGAGGAGAAGAAGGGGGAGGAGGAGGAGCAGGAGGAGGAGGAGGAGGAGCAGGAGGAGGAGGAGGAGGAAGCGAGTGCGCCTTGGCGGGGCCGTCCACGGCCAGAGAGCACATACCTCAAAGGCTCCCTCTTCAGAGCTTGAACCCACGGCTTCTGCATCCGACGGCGGAGTAATCCTGTCCTCGCGCTGGCGCACCCCAAGCGCAGCAACCCAGCCGTCGTCTTCCCGACGAGACCCGAAACAGCACATAATGTAGTCTGGAGTGAGCGGTTGGCCTGGGAGGTTGCGTCCCGTCCGCTGGCGCTGCGGCCACTGGCTGGCTCTGCCTCCACGGCCCCGCCAACAGCTCGGTTTCCGGCTTGCCCATGGTCCCGAAGGAGCGCCGCAAGGCGAACGCCAGTCCTCGCGCGAGGGCGCGGTTGGCACCTCGAGCGTCCAGTGTTTGCGGTTGGCCCTACAGTCGGGGCGCTGAACAAGGAACCCTTCTCGTTGGGGAGGGGCTCCGCGTTCCTTATTTGTTTCGCAGCTTGCCTTAGGTTGTCCTTAGGTTTTCAATGGGGAATCGAAGTTTGACTTGTGGACAAAAGGGGCCTCGTTCCTTATTTAGGGTTCCTTAGGTCAACGCCCCGACTGTATAGTGCGGGTATTCCCGGTTGGTCACACGCCGGAGTTGCTTCTGAGCTCCACGGCCGGCGCGCGATCCCAGTCACGGCCCCCGCATGGCTTTCCCTGGGCTGGCCCATGTGAGGCATCCTCCACATCTGTAGCAGAAAATGCGTTCGAGCGCTTGCGTGACGTTTTTTGTTGACCACCCGTGGCCCTGCGATTCGACATGCACAGCTATCGTAACTGCTCCTCTCACGGGGCCATTCTGGCTCAAGCATGGCAGCGGCGGGCTCGTGCACGGCGCTGGGGCCTGCGAGGGGGCGGTGCTTCAGAAGCTCCCTCCAGCGTTGTGGTCTGCGCCGTGCCGCGGCCCCCTGGCCTCTCCAGGACGCTGTGGTCCGCGTCGGGCGCCGGGGCATCCGCGGCTGCAGCGTGCGCCTGGCCACTCCAGCGCCCAGCCCCCTCCGCAATGACGTGGAGCCCACACCATGATCGCAGTCCTAGAGGTTGACACCAACACCAAGATCGGCGGCGTTCCTCCACCGAGGGAAGGAAATCCCGATCTCGGTGATGGTGGTAATATTCTGGCTTCCAAGGTGACCGAAATATTACCACCAACACCGAATTCTAGGATCGTCTCCACCCTGTGGAGGCAGCCCCGTGTGTTGGTGTTGGTGCCCATTTCCAGGCCTCCAACATGAGTTCACGTCGCCCTCGCTGAAGCCGTGGAGCTTGGTACCCTCCTCCGCGAGGGCGTCAGCGTGCAGATTGGGCTTCCTGCCCGCTGGCGGGATCCGCCTGGCATCCGCGTCCGAGGCCGTGGCGTGCGCCTTCACCTTGTGAGCATCGTTGAAGTCGTCGGCCGGGAAAGTCGCCCAGATCTGCCCCCACGCGTGCGGCCGCAAGCCGGTGGAGCTCGAACATGTGCCAGGACCAGCAGTTATGCAGTCCGCCGTGTTCTGGCAATCGACGTGAAAGGAGAAGGGGGGCATCGCGAGCTCGCGCAGCATGTAGATGCAGTAGTCCTCAGCCTCCCTGATCCCCTGCTCCGCGACGCCCACAGAGGCAACGGCCCGCAAACTGCCGAAATGACGCTTACATCCCAATCCACTGAGCAAATCACCCATCCAGCGCGAGCCAATTGCGGGAATTCGCCATGGAACTAGAAGCCGTCGGTGAAAAGACGCCCCTTGAGTAGTCCATCCAAGGGGCGGCAGACCCAGCGGACGAGCTCCTGGGATTCCGCGCGCGGGAACATCAGGGCGGGGCGGGGCAGGATCCCGCGAGCGAAGCGTTCCCCTGTCCTCTCGCTCCACTCCCAGGCTCGGCGCGCGCAATCCCGCAGCCGCTGGCTTGTGAGGTCCTGGCGCAGGATCGCCAAGGCATCGCACTCTTGGCACCTGTGCCAGAGGGCGCCCTTCATCCCGCGCCGAAAGCAGCAGCCATGGCCCACCAACCCATGTCCTGCCCAGCGCGCCTGGCCTCAGAGAGCGTTGGAGAAGGCAGCCTGGAATGCCCGCTGTTGACATTTGCTCCTGCCCAGGGGGGGAGACCTCAAGATCCGCTGCAGTGCCTCCCAGAAGATGGGGGAGGTGCTGGCGGGCAGGTGCCCCTGGCCTCGGCCCCCATGCCACTGCCCCCGAGACTGTCGTGGAGAGCGCCGTCCTGTCGGACTCCCTGACGGCGGCGCGATCGGCCAAGCTCGGGCCGGACGAAAGGGGGGGATAGGGAAAGGGGGGGTAACGAAATTTGCTGCATGCAGCTGGTTTCGGCCCCACCGAGGGGCCCATTCCTCGATACACAGGCGCCTCCGGCGCCTGGAGGCTCCGGGAAAATCAGCTACGTGAGCTGATTCTCAAACCCCCCCTTTGCTATCCCCCCCTTTCGCCCGACCCGAAAAAAGGCGCCCTCGTCGGTGCACATGCGATCGGCGCCGTCGAACTGCCAGCGGAGGCGGCGCAGCGTCCATGCCGCGACGTCCCCTGGCCAGGGGGGGCACCCTCCGGGGGGCCTTCGCCTGGTCGAGCATGCCTAGCGCTCTCGCCAAAACGGTCTGCAGGATCTGACGGTTCGGCATGCCGCCCCAAATCGCCGTGGTCCAGGTGCCGACCACGTCGCCGGAGTGGATGAGTACGGGGTCAGCCCCCGGCCCACTGCGGCGCGAATGGAGGCGTAGACCGACGGAAGCTCCGCGAGGCAGCCCCCCGCGGCAGCGCCAACCTGGAGAGCGCGCAGCTGGGCGTCTCTGGAGCCCATAAGTGCGCTCCCCCGGAGGGCGCCTGCAGTTGGCCTTCTCCTCCTCTGCGGCGTGGCGATGTTGCCCCCCTCATTCCTGCAGCAGGCGAGGCCGCAGTCCCCTCCATCGTGCGCCTTCCTGCCGGCCCGGGGTGGTTCCAACCTGATCGGCCGTGCCGCGATGCGACGAGGCTGCGCGCGCTGCAAGCGCGGCAGCTGCTCGGGAAGGGCCACTGTCGCCCGAGGCGGCACGCGGGCTCGGTCGAAGGCGCCATATGTACTTGCATTTCCTAAGCGAGATGGGCAGGTCCAGTTGCCGCATCCCTCAGAGCAACTGGGACACTTCCTGTCCCATCTGCGCGTCGACCATGGCTGCATTGCCCAGCGCCTGGAGCTCCGCGTCGCCCATGACGCTGCGCAGGGCCAGCTGGGGCCCGTTGCACAGCGCGGCACGGAGGGGGCCCAGAGGAGGAGTTTGGCCGACGTCGTCGCCGCGCCGCAGCCTGCGATCACCGACCTGGTGTCGAACAGGCTGGCCGACGCCGCGCCGCCGCACAGAATCCGGCGGCCCCCCAAGTGGACGACGCACAGCGCCCGGAGCAGCACTAGGGGAAATTGAAATTGCACGGTTGCCGCTCGCAGGTGGGACCAGCGCCCGTGCCCGTAGGATTTGCGCCAGTCGATGAGCACCGTGGCATTCGCGACGCCCGCAGCGCCCCCGATGGCGGACAGCACAGCGCGGTGCCAACCGGCCTTGTCGCACGCCGTCGCAGAGCTGGATCCCCAGAAGAATGGCCCCCGACGTTTGTGCTCCCACGCGCGGCGCACAGGCTGCTTCATCTTCGAGTGCAGCTTGCTGAAAGGACGCATCAGGCCGATGAGACGAATGATGTCCTCAGGCTTGGGAAGGACATGAGATGCGACAGGAGAGCCTCTAGCCGCCGCGGCCAGCGTTCAAACTTCACCAAAATGTCCAGGAAACCCGCATGGTATTCTGGGAGTTGGAGGAGAATTCGTGGATTGAGGCCGTCCCATCCCAGACCAGAGCCCTCGCTGTACGCTCTGCAGGCCCGCTGCAAATCGTCGAGTGTCAGAGCCGGGAGGTCGATGCCGCATCGTCCACGACCCAATCCATAAGGTCCTCCTCGTCGCCTGCAGGGACACTCCAGTGCGGCAGCAGTCATCGACGAGTTTCTGGCTAGCTTGCGCTCCTGCCGCTGGGAGGGCATCCTCGTCGGAGCCCCCGTCGTCGAGGATGTGGGTGGAGGGGTGCAGGCGCCGCCGGGCAAACCTTTGCGCTGCCTTCCCACCTCTACGCAGGCTCCCCATGTGCCCACTTGCGCCACGCAGCTGCCTGCCGCTTAGCATCTTCACGACGCATTTCGAGCTCGCTCTCCACGTGCTCCCACGTAGCTACCGCGTCAACGCGACGACCCTCGGCGAAACTGTCAGTGAGGCCGCCCAGCGCTTGCACGCTGCGTGAATGGTGGGGGCTGCCGGGCACGTCCTCCGGGGCGTGAATTACCTACCCCGCTTTCGCTTCCAGGCAAAACCAAGTCATACCACGCGCCTCCTCGTCAAGCGGCCTGACCAGTACAGGCCGTAGTTTGGCATCGTTTGGTATCTCTTGGAAGCGAGGGTGGTCAAAAGCGAGGTAGGTTTGTTTCCCCCCTAGGGACCTGCATCGCGACCACGATGCCGAGGAGCTTCATCCGCCACTGCGCGCGAGGAGCTCACGCCCTCGCCTGCGGGGCCGGCCCCCGGCCACCGCAGGCAACCCGCAGGCAGATCGAGTGGACGGCCACCCACGCCGTCGCCGTGAGGCAATGCCGGGCTCGGGCCTCGCGCCCCCACGTTTCGCACAGAGGGGCGCGGGGAGTTTTCGGTCCGTCGCCCCGTCCTGTGCAACGCCGGACGTCAAGCTGCTCGAGCTCGTGGAGCTTGACCAGGTACGCCTCCGCGGCGCAGAGCCACTCCGTGATCATGGAGCCCACGTCGGCCGCGCCTGCA